AATCTATACAAATCTATACATATCGGGCTATGTGGGGGAGGCTGCCTGTATTTTTAGGCTTCAACTCAGAACTACTCTCCTAGTTCAAATCAGCCTCAAATAGTTGTCACCTGTTGTTTTCCTTAGAAATCCCTTGAATTTTGCGCTTTTCTGTTCAGAAAACAAAGAACTCTACATGCTTCATTAGCCTCCTGCTTTCCCAGATGTTTGACCCCTCCTCCTTCCTCACAGATTCTCACCAAGAGCCAGTCTGTTTACATCAAGCCCTGGTCTGATCAACCCACCTGTATGACAGAACTAATTGTACTACAGTGCACACACTAACTTGATCCAGCCACTATTATGCTGTTCCTTACAGGAGCGTTGTCACATCTGAGGGCATTTTGTAACCATGTGAGCCCTTAGGGGCCTCATCAATCTCAGTGATGTATGTGAAAGGAAGTCATTACATGGTATTACCTGACAACGACAATAAACAGATTATTTCACACCAGTACAGTGGAGAAAAGCACATGCTTGAGCATCGGATAGACCCAGATTTATAATCCCAGCTTTGCCACTTACTAGCTGTGTGACCTTACCCTCTTCTCCTACCTCTCTACCTAACAAGTGTTAAGAGAATTCAGTGACAATGTGTATGAAAATGTTTTTTTTTAAGTTTGTTTATTTTTGTGAGAGAGAGCACACAAGTGGGGAAGGGGCAGAGAGAGAGGGAGAGAGAGGGGATCCCAAGCAGGCCCTGCACTGTCAGCGCTGAGCCCCATGTGGAGGTTCGAATTCATGAACCAGGAGATCATGACCTGAACCTAAATCAAGAGTTAGATGCTTAACCGACTGAGCCATCCAGGCACCCAAGTATGGTTTTCAATCAAGCCAAAGTGCAATGTCTGACACTATACAACTAGTTAGTGCATGGCAACGCCACAAATACAACTCTGGATTGAAAATTCAGGTCTTAGCATCCCCAGCATATAATAATTGTTATCGAACACATTAATGAATGCTAATACATCTTTAATTTTTTCATTTTTTAAAACAGAACAGACAAGAGTAGTTTGGAGCTTTTATCCCCATCTCCATTTTCAGGATCTTTTCTATATCTCCTAAGGTTAGAAAAAAAAGTCCCAGTTTTAATCATTAAGTTGGATGCAAATATATTAAATCTAGCCTTATTGACAAAAAACTATGGTATACTCATATTAGAGAATCTTAAGAAGAGCTTATTTGACCATGGAATAATAGACCAACTTAACTTTGAATTTATTTACCAGGCACAAAAATAGTAACACCAGGTTGTAAACACATGTGGACATGTCCATCTCTGTGGCAGATTATAGCATGGCCCACTCTATATTCATTCTCAGTCATCTTGTCCCCTGCCTCCCTCTCTCTTTATAGAGGCTAGAAAGCAAAATACTCACCTTCCCAGACTCACTGGCTCCTAATGGTAGCCTTTTGGGACAGTTCTGACCAATGACATGTAGGTGGAAATCCCGAGGGGAAGTTTTCCAGGAAAGAAATATGGTGAAGATTATTTTTGGCTGGGGTTCTAAGTCCCATTTTTTTCTTTTTTAATGTTTTTTATTTTGAGAGAAAAAAAGCATGAGCAGGGGAGGGGCAGAAAGAGAGGGAGAGAGGATCCCAAGCAGGCTCCACATCTACATGAGGCTCCACATCCACATTGACATGAGGCTCAATCCCACGACCCTGGGATCATGACCCAAGCGGAAAACAAGAGTCGGCTGCTCAACCACCTGAGCCACCCACGCACCCCCTAAGTCCCATTTTTCTATTTAGACAATACACTTTTGGGGCACATGGGTGGTTCAGTCAGTGAAACATCTGACTTGGGCTCAGGTCATGATATCACAGCTTGTGGGGGTGAGACCTGTGTGGGGCTCTGTGTTGACAGGTCAGAGCCTGGAGCCTGTTTCAGATTCTGTGTGTCCCTCTCTCTCTCTCTCTGCTCCTCCCCCACTCATGCTCTGTCTCAAAAATAAACATTAAAATTAAAAAAAAAAAAAAGAGAATGCACTTTTCACACTCTTGTTTAATTACTTGGAGGGAAAAAAAAAATCTATGACAACTGAAAATCACCTCTACATACACTGACACCGTTATCGTATCTGTTCACCATGGCGAGCTATCTCCTAACTAGATAGCACTGACTCCTCTTTAGGTATGTGACAGAAGTGATGAGAACAAGGCTGTTACCTTTCAGGACCATAAACTATATAGCTATGGAGTTGATGCATTACAATTATAGCAGTGTCCAAAAGCAGCTGGTAAAATAAGTCTTCAACAAATGGTGTTAGGACAACTGGATATCTATACGCAAGAGAATGAAGTTGGATTCCCTACCTCACATCGTGTATAAAAATTAACTAAAACTGAATCAATGACCTAATTACAAGAGCTACAACCATAAAGATCTTAGAACAGGAGGAAATCTTCATGACTTGGATTTGAAATGGACTCTTTGCAGGAGCAACAAAAGAAAAAAATACATAAACTGGATGTCATCAAAATTAAAAACTTTGTAAATCAAAGAACATCATCAAGAAAGTAAAATGACAACCTACAGAATGGTAGAAAATATTTGAAATAATGTATCTAGTACAAGTTTAGTATCCGGTATATATTAAGAACTCTTACAATACAACAAAGAGACAACCCAGTTAAAAAATAAGCAAAGGATTTACATAGACATGTCTCCAAAGAGGATATACAGTGGACAAAAAGCATGAATGATGCTCAACATCATTAGTCATTGAGGAAATGGAAATAAAAATCACAAAGAGGTACCACTTCACATCTACTAAGATGGCTATGATTTTTTAAAATTAAAAATAAGTGGGGCGCCTGGGTGGCGCAGTCGGTTAAGCGTCCGACTTCAGCCAGGTCACGATCTCGCGGTCCGTGAGTTCGAGCCCCGCGTCGGGCTCTGGGCTGATGGCTCAGAGCCTGGAGCCTGTTTCCGATTCTGTGTCTCCCTCTCTCTCTGCCCCTCCCCCGTTCATGCTCTGTCTCTCTCTGTCCCAAAAATAAATAAACGTTGAAAAAAAATTAAAAAAAAAAAATTAAAAATAAGTGCTGGTGAGGACATAGAGAAATTGGAACTCTCTTGCATTGCTGGTGGGAATATTAAATGAATGGCTCAGCTTTGGAATTTTGACAATTCCTCAAGAAATTAAACATAGAATTACCACATGACCCACCAATTCCACTCCTAGGTATATATCCAAAAGAACTGAAAATAGTACTCAAATACATATACACACATATCCATAGCAGTACTATTCACAATAACCAAAAGATGAAAACAACCCAAGTATCCATCAACAGAGGTATGGATGAACTGATATATGAACCTTATATACTGTGGTACATGTGGAGATGAACCTCAAAAGACATATGGTATGTGAAAGCAGACACAAAAGGTCTCATTCTGGAACTAGAGGTAGTGGTTGCAGAACATTGTAAATGTACTAAATGATACTGAATTGTTTACTTTAAATGGCCATTTTATGTGAGTTCACCTCAGTATCTTAAAAAAGGGAGATGGCTCCCTAGACGAAAAGGTGATCAGTAGAGGTCACTGACTTGCTGTAAAAGTATTGGAAAGCCTTTATTTTCCTCATTAGGATATGAAATGGTGGGGCACCTGGGTGGCTCGGTCGGTTGGGCGTCTGACTTCGGCTCAGGTCATGATCTCGCGGTCCGTGAGTTTGAGCCCCGCGTCAGGCTCTGTGCTGACAGCTCAGAGCCTGGAGCCTGTTTCAGATTCTGTGTCTCCCTCTCTCTCTGCCCCTCCCCTGTTCATGCTCTGTCTCTGTCTCAAAAATAAATAAACGTTAAAAAAAAAAAAGAAAAGATTAAAAAAAAAAAAAGGATATGAAATGGTGTACAATAAGAAGACCAAATTCCATTCTTTAGTAGCCTTTGTGGGAAATACCCATCCACCAGTTTTGTGTCTTCTGTTTGTCTGCTTGCCTTTGAACAGTTCTCCTTTTCATTCAATACTCACTACTCAAGATGGACAGAAGAGTGGATAGTCATAAATTATAATCTTGTTACCATCTCTGACATAAGGAATTATTGAGATGTGATGTAAAACAAACAAACAAAAAATACCAGTAAAATGGGATTATGAGGTTGACAGAGATCAGTTTCATTTATCCATGCAATTTCATTGGAATATAGAAAAGATAATAAAAGTGCTACTACTGGACTGCAGACATTTGTCTCTGAACTCCTGCGATAATCTTACCCACTCTTATGGAAGTTTGAAATGGTTGGTACTCAGATTTTGCTGTATACCTTTATCTATGTTTATTAGATTCCTAGGGCTGCCATAACAAATTTAGTGGTTTTAAACAACATAAATGTCTTCTCAGGTTGAGGCTAGAAATCTGCGATCAGGGGGTCAGCAGGGCTGTGTTCTCTCTGAAGGCTCTGGAGGAGAATCCTTCCGTGCTTCCTCCAGCTCGTGGCGGCCCCAAGCCATCACTGATCCGAGGTAGCATCACTCCAGTCTCTGCTCCATCTTTACATGCCTCGTCTACCTTGTGAGTCTGGGTGTCTCTTCTTATAAGGCTGCCTTAAATCCAGAATGATCTCACCTCAAGGTCCTTAACTTCCAACATCTGCAACCTCTTTTTCCAAATAAGGTCACATTCTGATATTCTAGGCAAACATGAATTTTGGGGGGACACGATTCCTCCCACTACACTATGTAAGCTACATAATTTCTTTTTTTTTGACACAGTAAGGTTTTTAGAGAACTCTAATTCAAACTTAGTTTGGTAAAATTAGAAAAATTCTTCTGGGGAAAATGCAAAAAAAAAAAAACAACCCAACTTTAATCTCCAAAAGAAACTAAATTGTACTAACAACAAAAAAATTAAATCCCTAGAAATGAATCCTCCCTTTATTTACTGACTAAAACTGATGTAAGTAAATAAGAAAAATGTCCTTTCACAGAAACAAAGCATGATAGGTTGGTGCTCTATTATTTATAATTTATTACTTACAAAAATAACTTGAGCTTTCTCATAACAGTTCAATAAATCCTCTCCTAGAAGTCAAGAGACCAGACACTTATGATTTTTACAATGAAAACTTTTTAAAAGATCTAAGCCATAATATTTTTAATATTCAAAATAAATTTTTAAAAATTTTGGAAGGTGAAACTTTATAATCATCTTCAAAATGTAGTGAAATTTGTTATGTGGTCAACTTATCAACTACTTGAAATAGAATCAGATGACAATGTATCTGCAAATAATTTAAAATCCTAATTGATAAATATTGTAATTATTTAATATTCAGGTAATTTTGTAAATTACCAAATTACAAGACAATGTTGGTAGACCATACATTTTCCAAACTATTTTATATATCCCACCACTCCATATATTTTAACACCCAAGGGAAATTCTACATTGATGAAAAGTGATTTTATTATAAATTTTCAGAAATTTTTTCTAATGTACCAAGATTTCATATGAAAATGCAGAAGTTGTTTTTATTTTTTTATAAAACAGCAAGTATGAACCCAATGTAGAAATCTGGTATTAGACAATTCCTTTGGCAGAAAACATTTAATTATAAAGAGATCTTAAAATAAATATAACCCATAAGATCATGGAAAAGAAAGAAAAATAACCCTGTTATTTCCTATTAACACCAAAAATATCATCTTAGTACACAGATTTAGTAACATTTTTATACTATCAACAACCTGCAACACAAAATTCATTACAGTATGGCCAAAATAAAATTGTTTTTAATTTAAGAGGGAGAAGAAACTTCTGGATGTATAAAATTTCACAGATAAATGCCAATATACAGTATTTATATACATGTCACCTGTTATGTTATTCCAAAACTACATTTGGTGAACTTAATTGGCTGATCCCAATTTAGTGGGTGTGCCATATTTCCCCTAGTTCAAAGACTTAAGCAGAATTAAGCTTTTACAATTCAGAACACAATTATACATGAAATATTTACAGAAACATTAAAATAACTTTATTAAATACTGTTTGGGAGGAAAAAACATTAAGATTTTCGATATATATGCAAACATGAACTATTATCAAGAGCAGCTTCGTAAATGCTTTTTATGTTTTTTCTTTAAAGAATAGAAGTTTCGTTTCCAAAAAAATAAGGTGCCATTTTAGAAGTTTTTTTATAAGTGTATAAACGAATTCACACGGAAGAAAAATACTGGATGAAAAAAAGAACGTGACATACTCAAGGTTAAAACTTTTTCAGCTACTTCTATCTGAAATGAGACAATGACAGAAATTAGGCTTTCAAATACTGCTTGTTTTTTCCTTTAAATGTAGACCAAGTAGTATGTAGACTTTTATTTTCGGACAGTTTCTTTGAAAAAAGAACATACTTATCATTAAATTTCTGTAAATAGATAAATGATAAAAATTTCCAGCACACTGTCTTCAAATGGATCCTTGGCAGAAAGATTAAGGGCTTTCTGTAAAAAAACAATTTAGAAATCTTGCTTCCAGGCAAGTAACCACTTCTGTCCTTTGTTTTCCCAGTTTAAGTACCAAGTACCTGTAAGCATATGTATTCACCATCTTCTATTCCATTGTCTAAAAAGTGATAGATGATGCAGTAGTGTATGAATTTTTAGGAGAAAACATTCCCTACTGGTTTACTACCTAACTCCTACAGTATGTGGAATCTATTAGCACTATAAACTAATTTATAAAATGTAGGCTTCAGAAAAACTGTCTTGATAGCTTCCCTATCAATCTATTGCCTGCTATTATCCCACAGGCTCAGAATTATCTCTGAAAGGAATGGCCAAATTTTTCAACAGCCTGGCATAGCAATGGTACTTGAATTGCCTCTTTAAAGAAACAACACAGCAATAAGAACACTTATTATTGGGATATATCACTTGGGATATATCACATCAAATTACTAGGAATGTCTCATGGCTCAAATTCACATGTAATCCGTAAAAAGAAAATGCAGCATCTCTGCACACACCACACTTATTAGAGGATGGCCAACGTCACTTTAAAAGGTCATTAGTGGCAATTCTAAGTACAAGGGAGCCTTGTTAGAAAAGAAATGTTTATCTGCAGGGAGTGGGGCATTCCTTAGCTCACTGCTGGCAGGACTGGGGACTAGCTAAATGCTTTATCATATATCTGCATTTATATGGTCTTCACTGTTAACTACAGAAAACATCTTTGTTCCTTCCAAACTGCTCTTGCTTCTGTCGACAATTATATGCTAATTATTACTCAACATAACCGGAGAGCAAAACTGACAGGACTGCAAACACAACTGCAATTTAAGGAGCCAAGGGAAATATGTTGGCAAGCTAAATGCTCACCCAAAAGGAAGTTCGCCTTTTAAAATAATGGTTTGTGGGGAATACTGAAAAAACATGCAGACAAAAAAAATATTCAAAGGTTTGAGTGCGCTCCCAATTATCATGACATTTTAAGGATTAATGGTTTCTTTAAAGTAAAATTTTATCTCCTGCTGTTTAGTGTCATAAGGCTACTGATTGGGTGTCCAGATTTGTGTAGAGAGATCTGAAAGGAAGACAGGATTAACTGGAAGGTACCTGAAGCTGCCTCTCATCAAAAGTTGACTTCAAACAAATTGGGCTGAAAAAATCCTTTCATGGCCTAGCAGAGTAAGGTAAGTTTTTGTGCTTTACTTATTCATGGTTCTTTTGAGTTGAGAAAAACTATTTTTTAAATATTTTCAGATTTGAATCACTGGGGTCAAGTAATACACATATGAAGGCTTTGGAGAAAATGCTTGCTTTGTTCTAAAGAAGAGGCTGCTGATGGTAATTTGTTTGCTGCTGTGCAACTGAATGAGCGGGAGCCGCCACCGGAAAGCCTGCCAGTTGCGGCAAATTGGAAGTAGCGTTCCGGTACGATGACATATCCACAGACATCCCCATCTGCTGTGTGTAAGCAGCTGTACCAGCAGCTGATTGAAGGTTAGAGTTCTGGTTCATGTAAGTAGGGTTGGAAACAGTGTCTTGTCCAGTGCTACAAACAAAATTTTGAAAAGAAAACCAGATTTACTTTGCATTATCAAGGTCATGGTCAGAGATCAATCATGAGACAATAAAAATTCCTTTTTCCATCTTTGTAAGTTTATGTAACTCTGCTGTTCCGATTATGACTTCATTATTCCAACTAGCCAACACTGTGAATGTAATTTTTAAATTTGGTAAGGAGAAAGTACTCAAAAATGAAACAAAATATAAGATTATATGGCCTATTTAATTTTGTTTTCTCCAAAATCTATCACTGCAAACATATAAAAAATCTTTTGAGGAGGTGCAGACTGTGTTTCTCACAGTGGTATCCTTGGTCAGCTATAACGAGAACCGAACTCCGCTCAAGTATACCTTCAGCCATATTCTCCCTTACGCTGTCTCTCAATCCAGCATGGAGGAGACCACCTCTTTTCCTCACAGACTCTTTACACTTTCCTTTGATAGGACACTTTCAGAGCTGCCCTGCTAACTTAATCTGAACCTCTACATAAAAATAATAAGGGTAGGGCAAACAGTGTAATCCACACAGGACCCTGAATCTACCCTCAAGGTAGTCTTGACCTATAGTTTACTTATTAACACGACACCAAAACAAACAAAAGAACAAGTTGAGAAATCACACCAAACTGCAGGACTCTGCTTGTTCTTGTAATTACCATGGCATACATTTTTTTTTTAAAAAAAGCTTTGTAATATGTAATTTCAAATTACTCAAATACACTGCTTACAGTATAGGAAGATTAATGTCTATACTGCTCCAGTTTTTTTCTCCATAATTTCTAGTCTCACACTGAATAACAAAATTTTACATTTTAATTGAACTAAATACCAATGTGAACAGGTTTACTTAATTTTCAGTTAATATCTAAAGTTTATACTTACGGAATTTGGGTGGGAAGAGACCTTAGAGATCATCTACCCATGACTGTTTGAATGAACATTTTGTATTGCTAAGCAAAGTTAATAGAAGGCAGTAATTTAAATATGATTTTCAAAACAGAAGTGTTAGTATAAAAAAATCAGACCACAAATTCCACAGCTTACACACACTTGGGAGTCAAAGTTTTCTGATATTCAGGAATGCATGCAAATCAACATGCCTGGGACTACTTTACGAGGCTGATTACAGCATAGTGCTGAGTGTATCATGGGCTTGGTCCCTGTAAGGGACAGTTATCTTTATTTTGTCCCAGGGAACCAGACTTTAGGCCATGTTTGGAGTACCATTTTAGTAGAGGTATCAAAGCTAAGAGCAGCACCATTCTGACTTCATGGGTTTATGAATGGGAAGTTCTGTAACTTCATCTCAATTATTATTATTATAAAGAGGTCAATTTATTCTCATTATGAAAGTGTGTGAAACCTTAATGTATGTAATTACAAAATAACACAGCTCCCCAAAACTTACCTTAAATATGGAGTCTGTGCAGGCTGTGTTGTCACTGAGGAATTTACATTTGGAGGCAGAGATCTCAGTGGACCAATCTGATCTGGTCCTAGGCTGTAGCTTTGGGCCACAGTGACTTGGTGAAGGCTTTGACCCATATAGTTTCCACCATGCGATTGAACTGGGTATGTCTGTTAACCAAAGAGAAAAAGTTGACTCACTGATTTCCCAAACATCTGCCTAACATATTTAAAACTTTAAAAAACTTAAATGAAATAAAATGTTACCGTTCTTCAGGGAGCAATCTGGTTCTACCAATCTATCTACCCTAGTACAAAAAGTAGACAGCTTCGAAATTACAGTGCCAAATCTGTGGAAATTTGTGATTTATTTGGTTGTTCTTTTATTCTGCGGGAGGTTGAAAGGAAAGGAGGTGGCATATTTTTCAGCAGCAGGCTGGAGTCCATCTGGGTTGCCTATTGCTCAGTGACCTGCCTTGCTGCAGAGCCACAGGAAACTATACACTCCTCGAAGGGCAGCCCATCATCACTTCAAGTCACCATCCAAATGGTGAACTTCACCCTCATCCCAGGATGACTTATTCAACTCCTTCCTAAGAATGAAACTTGAGAGGATAAGAATAAATAGTATCAGGGGCGCCTGGGTGGCGCAGTCGGTTAAGCGTCCGACTTCAGCCAGGTCACGATCTCGCGGTCCGTTGAGTTCGAGCCCCGCGTCGGGCTCTGGGCTGATGGCTCAGAGCCTGGAGCCTGTTTCCGATTCTGTGTCTCCCTCTCTCTCTGCCCCTCCCCCGTTCATGCTCTGTCTCTCTCTGTCCCAAAAATAAATAAACGTTGAAAAAAAAAATTTTTTTTAAAAAGAATAAATGGTATCAGGGCAGGGCGCAGATGCTCTCTATAACATCTCCTTTATTTTCTGCCTTTACAACAAATAGGACAAAAGCAAAGATGATTTTTAGGTAAAGGAGAAGATGTATCCTCCCTCAGGAAATAGCAAAATGGTCTAAGTCTCTTTGGATATTTCATGTGCCCTACCTAACTTTCAGGGTAGTATCTCCTTTAAGGACCTGCCTACCAAAGACAGCATTCAAAACAATGCACATACTTAATAAATAAATATTGGACAGTGATTATCATCACTCCAATTTTAAACAAAGCTATTTGTTTTTTGTTTTCTTTTTTATCTACATATAAGTTTTTAGTTCACTTACACAGTTATGGGGATTTCTGGAGGCAGTTTGAACTGCACGTAATAAACAAAGCTATTTGTAAAGCCCACTGACATGAAAACAGCATGCTAGAAGTGCCAAATCAACTTTAATGTAGTTGCAATCATACCGCTTCCTTTGTCAACATGTAACAATCCACTGACAATAAGCTGGGAACTGACCTCTGCTGCAGTGTAGGGTTCCTGAGTAGCCTTTACAGATTCAACTAATGGTGTGTTACTCCAACTTTTTTACTATGGACTTTTCTTCTAATTAGAATAGGAACTGTGAATAGTTTAAATGCTATTACACATAAATAGTATATAAAGAAGTTATGTGAAAAATCAGAGAGACAGAAAGCTTAACTTTTTAAAACACTGAGTTGTGCTTGTTAGCAAAACACAGATTGTAAGTAGTATGCAACTAAACACAGAAACCTGATACAAGAATGACAAATAACCCTTTATAGACACACAAAGAAGCAAATAAAACACAGTTCCATCATACAATGGTGGAGACACTTCTTTTTTGTTCCACTTTCACAGGAGCAGCAAATTAACTCGTTGAAAACAGAAGCACTTGGGGCGCCTGGGTGGCGCAGTCGGTTAAGCGTCCGACTTCAGCCAGGTCACGATCTCGCGGTCCGTGAGTTCGAGCCCCGCGTCGGGCTCTGGGCTGATGGCTCAGAGCCTGGAGCCTGTTTCTGATTCTGTGTCTCCCTCTCTCTCTGCCCCTCCCCCGTTCATGCTCTGTCTCTCTCTGTCGCAAAAATAAATAAACGTTGAAAAAAAAAAATTAAAAAAAAAAAAAAGAAAACAGAAGCACTACTGAATAAACTCCAGCTGTCTTTTGCACCCAGAAATCCTTTCTACCCTCACATATAATGATCCTTTCACCATTTTCCAAAGTTTGGGACATGGCATATTTGATAAATGCATCTTGTCTGATGTGACAGTTACCATAGTAACCATTCTTTTTTACTTAATTATGTCATGTCAAGTCATCTAGATTATGCACCCACATTCTATCTTTTCTCCTTGGTGTCTCCTTCACACACTCCTTTACATATCAGTTCCCATAAATTAACATGAATTTTGTTCATCCAAATTCATTCTGAATTCAATTGCTAACTGAGTAAAATTTGAAAAAGGCTTCACAATGCTTGATAATGATTATAAATGTAAGTATTCACTTCAGCAGGAAGCACAGACAAGGTGTAAATCCTGGAAAAAGAAGCTGTTCATGAATGGCTTACGGACCCTGCACCTATAGGCCTGCATCATATCCTTGCCACACATGAATTTTTGACAATATAAGTCATTCATCAAAGGAAAAACAGAGAACATGATCTCAGGATAAAAGAAGTTCATTAACTAATAAGCCTTCCACTAATCATGTAAGTCAAATAAACCTTGAGAAAAAAAATTTTTTTTTAACGTTTATTTATTTTTGAGACAGAGAGAGACAGAGCATGAACGGGGGAGGGTCAGAGAGAGAGGGAGACACAGAATCCAAAACAGGCTCCAGGCTCTGAGCCATCAGCCCAGAGCCCGACGTGGGGCTCGAACTCGCGGACCGTGAGATCATGACCTGAGCCAAAGTCGGCCGCTTAACCGACTGAGCCACCCAGGCGCCCCAATCTTGAGAGAAATTTTAAAAGAAATGGTAAATCTTGCTTGTTGAGCAACAGGAACTGCATCAGTATCTCATAGAGAGGACTTGTGATGGGTCAAGCATTGTCTTAAATCAAAGGACTTAAACTTTTAAATAAAGGATTTGTGCTTTATATTTACAAAAGCAAATGAAGAACCAGAACTCCCATCATATATTTAACGATCTCATTGTTCACGTTAAAAATGAACTAAAATTATTTGTAAAATATCAATATCTAATTTCTCCTGGCAAACGCTAATTGTTTAGCCCATATATTTTTTTTTTTTTTACTATAAAAGATGAGTTTTATGATTTTATTCATGGACCACAGACATTTTGATATTATGCTTTAAGACATTTTTTTGAACTTAAAACTGTTTTCCTCATTTTGAAAAATGTGCTCAAAAATACTCTCACCTGCATTGGAACCCCAGCTGATGAAGGTGGGTAATGTGCTGGAGGATGGAGCTTCGAATAGACTGGATATACTGGTGCTTCATTCACCAACCTGTTATATAGTTCCAGGGCTTCCAAGACTTTTACATTCAATTCAGACAATTCTGAATGCTTCCTGATATAGAAAAAGCACTTTAATTTTCTTCAATGCTTTTCAGCATGTATTTAGGAACATAAACTACTTTTTAAATTTAGCACATTTTCTATTCATATTTTAAAAGGTTCTTTACATACAATGAAATATTCATCATGAAAAATGGGAGGAGGAATTACTGAATTCTCATAATAACTAGGCTAATATGACATAATATTAGGGAAAGTCCCTTCCACACTTCATAAAAATGCAATCAATTCATAATTTTGGTGCCAGGACAATTCTGTTTCACATGTTATAGGTTTCTCTTGAAATCTCAAGTACAAAGAATAATAATTTCTCAATTTTGGAAAAGCCCAAGCTTTAATTAAAAATCTAAGTAAAAGAAAGTACTCAGGCAAGGTCCAGAGCCTGCTCTGAAGCACGATATGACTGAAATCAAAACACACTCACAAACAAAATTACACATTTTCATTTGCTTATATTCACTAATGGATCCAATGAAAAAATCCTAATAATTAACTTTGAAAATGCAAATGAAAACAATGTATATATATAAACTAGTCTCTACTACTCTTGTTTGTTGGTTTCTTTTGAGAAGGGGAGTGAAACCAGATACCTTATTGTGTAAATAACAAATCCAAGTAAGAGCATTCTCAAATTTGCCCAAGGAACTCTAGTTCAAATCCTTCTGACTTGGTACAACTTTGTCTGTTACCCTGGAGAGTAATAAAGAACTCCCATTGCAACTGACAAGTTCATATGAATTAAATGGCCACGTCATGTGGCACCCACAAGCCTATTTATTAAATATAGCTCTTTTTATATATATACAAGGAGGCTAAAAAGACAAGAAGCAGAGGCAGATGACCAGACACAGGGCTACCAAATAAATGACCTGGATTGAGTCATGTTAAGACTTATCATCTTTCCTCTCTTATAATCTGTTATGTCTGAAATAAACAAAAAGATGCAGTTTCCTGTCTTCCATGTGTAACTATATACAGCAAATCAAACTGTTTTCAGAGATATCATTTGTAAACCATACAGAAAGGATGAGAAATTAGTGTCCATGCTAACAAATATGTGACTAAGAATTAACCATGGGTATTTGGTCCACATAACCCAGTATACTGATGAAACACCAAGGAGAACACAGAAATCACCTTTAAAGATTCAAGACATAACCCCAAAGCAATTAAATTTTTACTGAACTGTGTCCAAACACTATACTATCACAAAGAAAATGGAGCAGAAGGTGTGGATCTCTCCTTCAAAGAGACTGCAATCTATTAGACAAGGCTAAGCACATGGAAAATAGCAAACAATATAAGATGGCATATGACTGCAAAATTATATAAAATTATAGGAAACAGAAGAGTTTAGAGGAGGAGGAGGAGACTAACTTGGGTTGTGGTAAACTGAAAAGGCTTTATGAGAAGCTGGGACTTAAATAGGCACCTGAGGAAGGATGGATAGGCCCAAGTAAAAAGGAAGACTAAGATCAGTGGGACAGTGCAAATCAAGTCAGGCAAAAGGAGTGAGGTTACACAATGGAAGAATGAAAAGGGCAATTTGATCACGGTGGTAGACAATGATTTTTGGAGGGCAGTAGGAAATAAGGTTAAAATAGTCTGGGATATTGTTAAGTTCAGACTATGGATCTCTTCAATAAATCTATCTAAACTTTTTTGGAGTCAATTTACATGTTTGCCTGACATAATTTCTTAGTGTGATAAAGTCTATAAAATCTCATTCCAAACAATTACAGATAGAAAAGAAATGTAAAATTTCTTTTTCTGGCAGTAAAGTTGTTTTTATTAGGGAAAACAAATTGATGGTGATCCAGTCAAGGGAAAAAACAGTATTTTATTCATCTTTGAATGCCTGACAAAGATAAAGAGTCAAAATTTGTTGAAGAACAGCAAGCGTTTTCCAGAACAAGAGCTGCATCTGTAGTCAGTGACCATGGGAAAGGAAAATGCCAGCTGGACTACTCAGAAACTGAAACTGAAGAGAGAACTGGTTAACAGGTGAGCTATGACTCAAAAAATTAACTCCTATCAGAAATGGTCGCTCTGATTTTTAACTGTGCTAGACCTTTTCCTTTGAAAATATTCCTTTTATCGATAAAAAAAAAGATTATGTATACTGTCATATCCTCTGCTTTTTCATTACATAGTATATCTTTCTATAATCAATAGATATTTATCAATGATAATGCTTTTTATTGTAGAATGTATGGATGTAATTATTTTTAAATCAATCTCACACTTAAAGACATTTTAGTTACTGCCAACTTGGTTGCTACAAACCTAATTTCAATAATACTGTGAAGAATAAGAGTTAAATCTTTGCATATGTCCCTGTATACTTAGTATGGGCCTGAATTTACTGGGTTAAAGATTATGGACTATTTTTAAGGTCCAGAAAGGTTTATGATAATTGTACTCCTAGCCACACCTAAGGTAATACTGGCATTTTTCTTTTTTCTTTCTTCTTTTGTAAGTTTATTTATTTTTGAGAGACAGCACATGCAAGTGGGAGAGGGGCAGGGAAAGAGAATTCCAAGCACACTCAGCTCCGCCAGCACGGAGCCCCATGTGACTCAAATCCATGAACCATGAGATCATAATCAGAGCCAAAATCAAGATGCAGACACTTAACCCTGAGTCACCTGGGCACCCCTGACATTTTTCTTTTTAATCCTCTCCAGTTTTATTCACTGACCATTAACACCCTTGCACTGAAATAAAAATAGGAGATGTGTTAAGTAGACATTTAATGCTTTTTCCAAAATAAAAATATGATGAAACTACCACCATCATTTCATTAATTTTTGATGGGTATTTATTTTTCATTTCTGTAGAAGATATAAGGAATTTATAAAAAAGGTCTCATGGAAACAGATTATAATCTTCAGTGACTAGAAAAAATCTTGCTACTACCCTTCTCTGGTAAACGCAGATAAGAAGTAGTTCCTGTTCTTTTTGTGCAGTTTTATACTGTAGTTCAATAAACAGATTCCAGAAAGGGATGACAATGGAACACTAAAGCCTTGTCCTTGTCTTCCATTCACCATAGGTTCTCCCTGAGACTTCAAATAGAAAGCTCCGAGGAACCAAAGGAGGCAAAAATCAATGAGAAGTTCCAAATGCTGATAGTCTGTCCTTCAGTGCTGTTGCTGTTTCTAAGGAAGAGTAAGACTACATGGAATAAGGAGATTAAAAGGATAACAGAAATACAAGGGAGAAAAATGAGGAGAGGTATGTGGACTGGAGTTAGCTTCACAAACCCAAGGGAAATTTCATTTGAAAGATTTACAAATACTACTTCTCATCACGGAGTAAGACAATGCTTGCCCAAGATCCCAGTTCTCAATCTGTGCTCTATTCAGTTTTTATTCCTCATTCCTCATTATCCCTCAATTCCAGTCCAAGTAAGAAAATGAAAGTTGGCACCATAAGAGCAAGAACCCACAATTCTACGTATACTATATGGCCATGGAAGAAAACTGCTACCAAAATAAAAAGTACCACCTTACTATTCACTTGTAAGAGTTTTGGAAACTGAGAAACAATTTCAACAGATTGAACAGTTCCACAAAACTCAGTCTAAAATTTTGCCAAAAAACAAGAAAATTATACTTGTTATTCCCTTAACAAAGAATCTCACCGATCAATCTCTTCAAGTTTTTCATCTATCATTGGACCCATCTGTTGGCAGATATCTGTAAATACAAAAATACTTTTGAATCTTGAAACTTAAACCAGTTTAAGTCAATTTCAAAAGCTTTTGACAATGGACCACACCAATATACAACACCATGCATAATACAAAGAAAATGCAATTTATGCTAGAGAAACGACTATGAAAGACCTAATTTTAATACTGTTCATCACCAATATTAATATCATACAACTAAAGGCAAAGTCATAATCAAAAGAGAAATCCCACCATGTCCCACCAAGTAAGTGCTAACATTACAGACTATTAAATCTGGAGTTATCTTAAAATCTGGAAAACTATTATTAGCTACGTATATTAACTTGAGTCACAATGTATAAAATATATAATTATGTACAGATTAGATATGAACTTTTTCATGTATTTAAGCCATTTCAAAATCAAACATTTTGTGCATTTCCAAATGTAAACACTGATACAATGAATAGAGTAGTATCCTGTATTTATAATTAGACTTTATTCTACAAAAAGATTTACGAAGATTTATCCATTTATCAGAGATTTTTCTGATTAAAGGATTAAAAAAAGGCATAAAAACATTTGTTTTAATTGTTTCAAATTTCTGGGGATTAAAAGGACACAGCATGCATCAAATGACTACATTACAAAATTAACACAGACCATATAGAATTTTGCCCTTTAAAATCATGATACAAGAGAATTAAAAGAGAAATAAGAATTGCTAAAATTTTAATTTAATTAATTTAACATGTTCTTATTCTTAATTCTGTCCTTTTTCGGATTGCAAATGTCTTCATCCAGTATCCCTGGTGGGTTTACAGAAAAACAAAGACTTCCTTCTTGAACAGGATAGGCAGGTTTGTAACAACATCTTCCAAATCATATATTTACTATTTTACTATACTGGTCTGTTTTCCACCAGAGAGAGAGTTCTAATTTATAGAAGCAAACACAAAGCAGAAGATATTTAAGACATTATAAACAACTAAAATATTAAATGACAATGAAGTAATCCCTAACACTCATTAAGTACCTTCTAAATCCAAGAGGTCTTGGGAGTCTGGTTTTGAATCTGTTGGATCTATACTCTGGAGTACCTGCAGGGCTCTATCCATCTTATCCTAAAAAAGTAAATGGGCACTTTAAAAACGCAAAAGCTTTCATTTCAATGAACATAAAAATTACTCTTTCCAAGTATTCTCAAGGATAATAGATTTTAAAGTATTGATAGTTTAACTATTAAACAAAAGAAGAACTCTACCTCATCTATATAAACAGGCTCAGGCTCTGATTTCTTAATTTCCTCCTCCTCCTCATCAATTACATTCAATTTGTCCACAGCTGCTATGGAAACAAAGTAAACTTTAAGTTCCTCAGCATTTACTTTGGTATTTTAGTTACTAATATATAAGTAGCCTGTGATTATCCGCAAGAAAAAAAAAAAAAGGAACTCTTCAGTCATCACATTTCATAGGTAACATACATTATTTCATGTGTTCATCCACTCATGCCACCGACATTTATTAGTGTCACGTACTGTTCTAGGCATTGGATATACAGAGTGAATAAAACAGACCAGAATCTCTGCCCCAATGGAACTTACCTTCTAGTGGAACAAGTGAGCAATATTAACGGGAACTGTCATTATAGGCATTTTCTGAAAAACTGAGTGTTTTTAACACTAGGGTTAGAGTCAAATATATGAGCTCCTTCAGTACACTTTCCTTGCTATAAAAATGTATTTCCCATATGAACAAAAAAACACTCGATTTCATCTTCACAATAGGAAAAAAATATCCAATTTAAACCTAATTTTGATAATAGGTTAAAAAAAATTTTTTTAATGTTTATTTATTTTTGAGAGAGACAGAGAGACAGAGTGTGAGGGGGGCAGGGCAGGGCAGAGGGATGGAGACACAGAATCGAAAGCAGGCTCCAGGCTCTGAGCTGTCAGCACAGAGCCCGACACCGGGCTCCAACTTGTGAACTGCAAGATCATGACCTGAGCCGAAGTCAGATGCCCAACTGACTGAGCCACCCAGGCGCCCCACTTTGATAATAGTTTTAAAGCAATAGGAAAAAAAAAAAAAAAAGCCTTTCATAAAGAGAAGGTTAAAAGATAATTCATAAACATACATATCCAGAAAACTATTTAAATGTTCACTAGAGGGGCGCCTGGGTGGCACAGTCGGTTAAGTGTCCGACTTCAGCCAGGTCACGATCTCGCGGTCCGGGAGTTCGAGCCCCGCGTCAGGCTCTGGGCTGATGGCTCAGAGCCTGGAGCCTGTTTCCGATTCTGTGTCTCCCTCTCTCTCTGCCCCTCCCCCATTCATGCTCTGTCTCTCTCTGTCCCAAAAATAAATAAACGTTGAAAAAAAATAAAAATAAAAAAAAAATAATAATAAAAATAAATAAATGTTCACTAGAGTGCTGCTATAATGTACTGTATTTTAATAAATTTTGATAATAAAATTACAATAAAAACCTACCTTGCCCCTAATCCAAAAATCTCTGTGCTCTGTAGGCCACATTGAAGACACTGTGTTCTCTCTGAAGAGTATATAAGGTTTCCAAGAAAATGTATAAATACCACACCCCCCCCCCCAGAAAAAAGAAAAATCTCTATAACCAAAGGATTTTTGAGTCCTGACAGCTGCTTACTTCAAATATGTGGCTAACTTTCAAACAGGTCCTAAGGAGCAGAGCTCAATATAACATGAGGATGTACTGAAAAGCCAGAGTATTTTTTACTTTTAAAACCACAGCTCAATCTCTCCAGCCTATGCCAACGGGAAATTTCTATGTAGGATCCCCTGAGCATGGTCTCACCAAGTTATTAAAAACAGTGCCTCCAATTTTCATAACTACTTAGTTTACAAGAATAAAAAGTACAAATACAGGCAAAGTGCTCAGTCTTTAAATGAGTCTTTACATGTTTCAACTTTAACTGAATGCCATCACTCCATACAAAGATGATATTACACACAATGCACAGAGCTTTCACAATTTAAGTTTTTTCCCTAAAACCGATAATACAGACTAGCACTGACATGTCCCACAAGTCAGTTTAAGTACATCTAAGAGCACACCAGCAGACTTTAGAATCATGGCTCTAGCACCTACTAACCCCATAAACCCTCAGCCTCAGTTTCTTTATCTGTAAAATGGGGTAACAAAAGTACCTATCTCACAGACTTGTGAGGATTAAATGAAATAGTGCAAGCCAAGGACTTTGCACAATACCTAATAAATGAGTACTCAAGAGGAGCCTGGGTGGCTCAGTTGGTTGAGAGTCCAACTTCAGCTCAGGTCATAATCTCATGGTTTGTGAGTTCGAGCCCTGCGTCAGGCTCTGTACTCACAGCTCAGAGCCTGGAGCCTGCTCTGGATTGTGTGTGTGTGTGTGTCTCTCTCTCTGCCCCTACCTGGCTCATGCACTGTCTTTGTCTCTGTCAGCTGTTCTTTACATTCAGTTCCCCCCCACCTTCCTGCCTGTGTAACAAATGGAAGCTTTCTCTGCATGGTTGACAGAAGATCTGAAGCAGGAACCTACAGTCTTAATTATACTGCTGTATTATTGCTTCAAGGTCCCAAGTTCCGTGATCAAATCAAGGTGAGGAAAAGTCTAAAATTTAGGAGTACTCCTAACCCTTGTGATCACACTTGGCACTTGTCAACCAGCCCCCCACCATGCCACCTACTACTCCCTTCAGTACTATGGTTCAGTGATGAATAAAATCCATATTCTACACTGAACTGACACACACTGTCTCTTAAACCATAATTATGCTGATTTAAATATTTACATGGTCATCACAGATTGTTTTATGCCTTCTATGTAACTATGTACATTAATTCTCAAAGGGTGTAAAATAAAATAATTCTTGGAAATTACCTGGGATAAATTAACCCCTTAAGTTGTTAAGAAGTAAGCTAAACTGTAGTGTCTATAAATAATTTAAAACAAGAGTTAAATACCAATCTACTTTGTATTCAAAATTGAACCAGGGCACCTGCCTGGCTTAGTTGGTAGACCATCTGACTCTTGATCTCAGGGTTGTCAGTTCAAGTCCCACGTTTGGTGTAGAAATTACTTAAAACAAACAAACTAAACCATAAACTTCAAGTGTAAAAAACCTTAATAGATTTACTCTTCACCCTTAAAATTTAACTTACCTGCCTCAGACTCTATGTTTAAATTAGTTGTTACAAAATTAGATGGGAAGAGTCCTGTTCCTCTGTGATTTTCTCCTTTCCACCAATTGGCATCACTGAAAATACAGTACAAAAATGTCATTTGTTCCTCTACATTTTAGTACATTAATGGCAAGAAGAATTAAAATAAAAATTATATTCAGCTTATTTTGAAAATACCTCATATCCAACTATATTTAAACAGTTCTTATACTTAATAAAAGATACAAAAAAACACAAATAAAGCAAACATCCATATTCCTATATTAAAATTTAGAACCATTAGCAAGTGATCATATCGGAATCTGGGCTTTAAAAAAATAATAAAAATTATAGGTAACACTGAATCCTCTTTATCAACAACCTCAAGTCCCAATCCCACATCTAACCTGCCAAACCACTACCATAAAGCTGGTATGTGGCCTTCCTGCAAGTGTATATTTTATTTGTTTACAGATACTTATAGCAAAGTCTATAGATATATTAACCATTATAGATTTCTACAATTCACTTTATTATTTTCATATCTTATTTATCCCTTTTAAAGACTCATTATACAAACACAGTATATTTGATTTACTGATCTCCATAATGATGGACACTTAAATATTTCCAGCCTTTCACCATTATAAAGATTGGAGTGATGATCATTCTAGATTCTAGTGCACACAAGCAACAATTCTTGAGGCTTATTCACACACATGGACTTGCTGGGCCAAAGGATATAAACATTTTCCATTTTACCAAATATTGCCAAATATTCTCAAAAGTGGTTGTAGCCATGCACCATCCTACTTCCCTGAGCAACATGTGAGAATGTCTTTTTCCCTCACCTGTGTTAACTGTCCAAGCAACACTTGCTATCAGACAGGAGAGAAACCCTATCTCATGGCTGTGCTCATTTGCACTTCCTGAGCATGTGCATGTGTTGCTGGCCATTCAGACTGCCTCTTCTGTAAACTGCTCATTCATGTTTTCTGTCCATTTTCCTTTTCCCACTGGGCCATTTATTTGTTTTTATGGATCTATAGGGGTTCTTTATATATTCTGGATAGCAACTGTTTGTCTGAATTATGTAAATGCCTTCTCTCTACTTGTCTTTTAACATACATTTATGGTTTCTTTCATCGCATGGTGTATTTTGTTTCATGTAATCAAATTTAGCAATCTCTTACGGTTTATAGTTTTCTTAAATCTTTCACTATCCTTGAGCTTCTAAATCTGTTTTCCTATATATTTAATAGTTTTAGGTTTTCTTTTTTATTTGTCCCCTGCGTGTAAATCTTTAATCATTTGGAATGAAACTGTATGTACTATGTGAAGCTGAATCAAAGTTTTATTTGTACTGTATAAAGAGCTATTAATCCCAGCAAAAATTTATTGAATAGTACATCATTTTTTCTACTGATTTATAATATTCTATCTTAAGCAGGCTGCTATCTGTTCGTGAGCAGATGGATCTGGATTCCATTCTGTTGAACAGTCTATATATTTATTTACTACAGCTTGTTAATATGCCTTGATACTTGGCAGGGAAAGTACTCTGTCTTGCATACTTTCATATTTCCATATTAATGTTAAAATTAAAATGTTTTCAAGTTCTCTGGGGGAAAAAAAAAAGTCCTGTTGGGATTTTAATTAAAAATGCACTGGGGTGCCTGGGTGGCTTAGCCAGTTAAGCACCAACTTCAGCTCAGGTCATATCTCATGGTTTGTGAGTTTGAGCCCCGTGTTGGGCTCTGTGCTGACAACTCTGAGCCTGGAGCCTGCTTCAGATTCTGTGTCTCCCTCTCTCTGCCCCTCCCCCATTAACATTCTGTCTGTCTCTCTCTCAAAAATAAAATAAACATTAAAAAACTTAAGGGGCAACTGAGTGGCCCAGGTGGTTGAGCATCCAACTTCAGCTCAGTTCATGGGTTTGAGCCCCATGTCGGGCTCTGTGCTGACAGCTCAGAGGTTGGAGCCTGCTTTGGATTCTGTGTCTCCCTCTCTTTCTCCGCCCCTTCTCTGTTCATGCTCTGTCTCTCAAAAATAAATAAATATTAAAAAAAAATTGTTTTAAGTTAAAAAAATAGTAATTAGAAATGCACTGAATTTATGCATTAATATGGGAAAAATGACATCTTTAGAACATTAAAGTTTTATTCACCATGAACATGGTATCTCTCTCCATTTATATTTATATAAACGGGTGCCAGAGTGGCTCAGTCGGTTAAGCGTCCGACTTCAGCTCAGGTCATAATCTCACAGGCTGTGAGTTTGAGCCCCGCCCCGTGTCAGTCTCAGAGCCTGGAGCCTGCTTCAGATTCTGTTTCCTTCACTCTCTCCGCCCTTCCTCCACTCATGCGCTCTCTCTCAAAAATAAAAAATAAAATAAAAACATTATATTTATATAAACATATTATATGTATATATTTCTTTACATCTTTCAAAGAATTTTATAACTTTCTCCATAAAGTCCTTATATATCTTTATTAGGTTTATTTATCCCTAGATCATCTATATTTTTTATTACTACTGAGAATGGCAATTTTTTTCTATTTTCTAAAAGCTGTGATTAAAGCACCCACTGATTTCTGTATGTTGAGCTTGTATCCAACAACCATGAACTCTTACCAATTTTAATGGTTTGTCCATCGATTCTCTTGGATTTTCTATATGGACAATCATAGAATCCAGAAAGGATAATTTTGTCCACTCCTTTCCAAAAATTTGACTTATTGAGCAGACATTCTTAAAAATGAAATTTCAGGATGAATTAACTTCTACGATTATGAAACATAATTTGACTTAAAAAGCACCACAAAGTGAACTCCTGGGTGGCTCAAACAGTTGGGCATCCAACTCTTGATCTTGGCTCAGGTTATGATCTCGCGGTCCATGGGTTTGAGTCCTACGTCGGGCTCCACACTGACAGGAGCCTGCTTGAGATTCTCTGTTTCCCCCTTTCTGCCCCTCCCCTGCTTGTGCTCTCTCTCGCTCTCTCTCTCTCAAAATAAATAAATAAACTTAAAAAAAAAAAAAGTACCATGAAGATGCAAGCTATGTATCATCCAAATGTTTAAAACCAGAAAATAATTGATGTATTGACAATTGTAATATATCATGTCTGCTGATGTCTATTTAGAATGAGAAATTCTCTCTTACACACATGCTTTTTTAAATTAAACCTTCCATTTTTTTTTTTAAATTTTTTTTTTTCAACGTTTATTTATTTTTGGGACAGAGAGAGACAGAGCATGAACGGGGTAGGGGCAGAGAGAGAGGGAGACACAGAATTGGAAACAGGCTCCAGGCTCTGAGCCATCAGCCCAGAGCCTGACGCGGGGCTCAAACTCACGGACCGTGAGATCTTGACCTGGCTGAAGTCGGACGCTTAACCGACTGTGCCACCCAGGCGCCCCAAACCTTCCATTTTAAAAAGGACAGCTGAACTCAGAGCAATTTTTATATAAAACCAGAAACTTCAAACCTATGAAATGGACACACAGATTTGAACTTATCAACAATTTTATGTGTAGCCTTTCCCAGGCTTGATGAAACATAAAAGCAGACAAAACAACCAAATGCCATGTCAAAGCATGATGACTCCTTCCTAGCCCTAACCCAGCTCTACATTCTCTCCACTGACAATGAGTTGATTCTTTGGAATGTTAATGATACAAAATACTGTTCAATTTTTAAATTTCTAAATTAAGGTAATTCAGCACAGTAATTTTACACAAACTGATCATTAAACACAGCATTTATATTTAGCTTTTTATATTAAGTAAAAATAAATCACAGCTGAGTGAAAAATGATAAACACAGAAACTTCACTGTCAATGAGCTGATCATTCAGCTAACACTTAGAAAAGACTACCAAAGAGAGGACAAGTGACATTAGACTAAGCAATGAAGTTACAAAGCTAATGGAGATAGGGTTTCTGCCCTCAAGAACGAAAATCTAGTGCAGTATTTTTCAACCCTCTCATACCAGTTAAGAACATGTTACCTTGCTTTACCTTGTAGGATTTGTTTTCTCCTTCTCCCTTCCTCTCAAAATCAACTCATGTAGCAGGACAGACATGTAGAGCAGTGACTGCAGTATAGTATGAAAAATGCCACTATGTTCAGGGATGTATAGCAGCAAAGAGAAACTATTTCTAACTACCGGAAACTAACAGCAGAGAAGATTTAAAGGCTTCTAAGAAGATATAAAATCTACATGGGTTTTGAAGATTAAGCAGGCAGTGCCAGGAAGAAAATGAAATTAGGGTTATGGAAATAAAAATGACATTCTCTATTACCATTATGAATAAGCAAGAAAATAAAAATACAAAGAAACAGAAAACTGCACACTAACAAAAAACAAAGTTATCCTGGCTCATTTTAGGTCTCAAAAAATGAAAACCTGAGCCTCTCCTTTAAGCTATTGACTTCCCAACTAAGACAACTTATTTACTGTCTTTTGTAATAACAATGGCTGAAAATAACTGATGCTCTATTTATGGATATGATAATCATGTGAAAAAAACACAAACATACAAGTAGTGAATCTGGAAATCTTAGTGATCTTGTGGGGATCATTTCCTTAATATACGTATTTTTTAATTTAGGGGACCAATCCTTCTAAAGCCTGGACTCCCTTGCAAATCTTCCTTGCAAGTAAACTTCCTTTTCTTTTCTAAATGTGTCTGCCTCTTTCGACAGGAGTTTCCAGGAATAAAGAATCAAATGTGCAATGCTACACAGGATCTAATCACAATATGGCATTTTTGGAAATGCAAGAATTCTACTTGATTATTTGAAATAATACGTAAAGAGTCAGCAAGGAGTGGTGAGATAAAGCTAAAAATGTAGAAAGTGAAAAGCTTTTTTAGTATACTCTGTTAATAAGAAATGTGTGCCTTTTCTATTAGTTCAGTGTTTCTTAAGCTGAAATCCAAGAATGATGCAGCTTCAAGCAACTTCAAGTTGTGTATGTGAAAATTTTAATTTTGTGCTTTCATTTCCACAGCAATATGAAAACAATGAAGATGGGCATATTCTGAATCATTTAGATGAACTTCTTTCAATTGAAGACTGCCATTTAACTTTTTTTAATTTTTTATATTTTTTGCCATTTAACTTTAATACCCAAGTTTGCATTTGAGCCTAAAAACCTTTGCAAAGATAATCCATCATCCAGAATGATAACATGTAACCTATAGGTGTTAATGAGGTCTATGGCAATTTTAAGATTGGGGTAGCCAATCAAATGACTGTAATCAACCTACATATTCCACCATATTCATGTTGAGTCTCTTAGAAGTTACTAAGATAAAAGTTCTTTTTTATAGTGTTAAGTCTCCACTGAAAATAGTTTTATATGAGTCTAAGTTGTTAAATGTATTTGTGCCTAATTAAACATGTGCGAAAAGACACATGCAGCACAGCAACATAACCCTTTACTCATGGCAAGCCTGTAGACTATAATAGGAGTATAATGCCACGTGAACACCAAATGATGTCAAGGGATACAGTATGCATGATGGATTCATGACAATTACAAAAGAAAAAGTCAGAGAATTGAGTTATTATAGCACAGGGTAGTAGAAGCCTACTGAAGATAAGTGATAAAGTATCTGTGCCATTAATCAGTACCCTGTAAGTAGCAATTTATTTTCGAATATTTTCTCACTAGATCAAATACTCAAAATTTGAATCTTAGAGCAAAAACTACTCATTTTATAGTTTTCTTTCCATTTATTTTATAAATGTCTTTAATTTTCTAGTTGCATAACAGTATTTAAAGTATAAACTTAAGTTCCTTTGTAAATATTCTAACTAAAATTACACTAAGAAGCCTGACATTTCAGACTGTCAGTGTTCAGAGCCCACACTACTTAGTCGTCTTTTTTTTTAATGTTTATTTACATATTTCTTTAGAGAGGGAGACAAAGAATGAGCAGGGAAGGAGCAGAGAGAGAGGGAGACACAGAATCCAAAACAGGCTCCAGGCTCCGAGCTGTCAGCACAGATCCCGACGCAGGGCTCAAACTCACAAACTGTGAGGTCATGACTTGAGACAAAGTTGGACGCTTAACCGACTGAGCCACCCACATGCCCGTTTATTTATTTTTAAGAGAAAAAGAGACAGAGCATGAGCAGGGGAGGGGCGGAGAGACAGGGAGACACAGAACCTGAAGCAGGCTCCAAGTTCTGAGCTGTCAGCGCAGAGCCTGATGCAGGGCTCGAACCCACGAACTGCGAAATCATGACCTGAGCCAAAGTCTGATGGTCAACCGACTGAGCCACCCAGGAGCACCAATATTTATTTACTCTCATTCAGGAGTCATGTGTTCCATTCTCAATGACTTAAAAAAAAATTTTTTTTTCTTAAAAAAAAAGATTATTTTCTTGATCACCTAAGAGACCTTCCTTTTCCTACTCTCAATTTCTTGCAAAATTTTTCCTATCCCATCAAAACCAAAGTTCACCTGAAATGAACTCTCAGCTTAAGCCTTCTTTCCCAGATGCTTGCATCCAGTACAAATCTGGTCTCTTCTGGACCCCAACATTGCCTCTTTTATGGCATTCACAGTCTGCATTCCATACTAATACCTGTATAGAAATTTCAACTCCCTTACTTTAGATTTTATAAGACAGAACCGCATCCTCATTCATTTTTTATATAAACAGAGCCTAGTACATAATACTTTTTCAATAACTATTTACTGCAGCAAAGTAACACTATTTTGTGTATATACTCATTTAAAAATGCACCAGACTAAGCATCCTTACTAAGTTATTTGTAATGGATACCAAATGCATCTGCAATCTCTGTTCACAGTATTAAGCTATTATGTCCACCCTTACTAAATTTCATCAACTTTAAAAAAAATTTTTTTTTTTAATTTTATTTTTTATTTTTTAAAATTTACATCCAAATTAGTTAGCATATAGTGCAACAGTGATTCCAGGAGTAGATTCCTTAGTGCCCCTTACCCATTTAGCCCATCCCCCCTCCCACAACCCCTCTAGTAACCCTCAGTTTGTTCTCCATATTTATGAGTCTCTTCTGTTTTGTCCCCCCTCCCTGTTTTTATATTATTTTTGTTTCCCTTTCCTTATGTTCATCTGTTTTGTCTCTTAAAGTCCTCATATGAGTGAAGTCATATGACTTTTGTCTTTCTCTGACTAATTTCACTTAGCATAATACCCTCCAGTTCCATCCACGTAGTTGCAAATGGCAAGATTTCATTCTTTTTGATTGCCAAGTAATACTCCATTGTATATATATACACCACTTCTTTATTCATTCATCCATCGACGGACATTTGGGTTCTTTCTATACTTGGGCTATTGTTGGTAGTGTTGCTATAAACATGGGAGTGCATGTGTCCCTTTGAAATAGCACACCTGTATCCCGTGGATAAATGCCTAATAGTGCAATTTCTGGGTCACAGGGTAGTTCTATTTTTAGTTTTTTGAGGAACCTCCATACTGTTTTCCAGAGTGGCTGCACCAGCTTGCATTGCCACCAACAATGCAAAAGAGATCCTCTTTTTTCGCATCCTCGCCCTATTTTTTTATGTTTATTTTTGAGAGAGAGGGAGAGACACAGCATGAGCAGGGGAAGGGCAGAGAGAGAGGGAGACACAGAATCTGAAGCAGGCTCCAGGTCTGAGATGTCAGCACAGAGCCTGACGCGGGGCTCGAACCCACAAACTGTGAGATCATGACCTGAGCCGAAGTCAGACACTCAGCCAACTGAGCTACCCAGGCACCCCACATCCTCACCCTATTACATAATACTTTTTCAATAACTATTTACTGCAGCAAAGTAACACTATTTTATGTATATACTCATTTAAAAATGCACCAGACTAAATATCCTTACTAAGTTATTTGTAATGGATACCAAATGCATCTGCAATCTCTGTTCACAGTAATAAGCTATTATGTCCACCCTTTTACTAAATTTCATCAACATTTTTTTTTACGTTTATTTATTTTTAAGACAGAGAGAGACAGAGCACAAGCAGCGGAGGGGCAGAGAGAGAAGGAGACAAAGAACCCGAAGCAGGCTCCAGGCTCCGAGCTGACAGCACAGAGCCCAACGTGGGGCTCAAACTCCTGAACCGTGAGATCATGACCTGAGCCAAAGTCGGACCCTCAACCAACTGAGCCACCCAGGCACCCCTCATCAACTTCTTTTAAAGGCAAAGTAAAAAACAGAATTAGGCCCAATAGAGACAGACCTACCTACCTACCTACATACATTTATTTATTTTAAGTTTATTTATTTTTGAGAGAGAGAGAGAGAGAGAGAGAGAGTGAGAGGAGGAGGAACAGAGAAAGAAGGAGATACAGAATATGAAGCAGGCTCCAGGCTCTGAACTATCAGCACAGAGCCTGACGCGGGGCTTGAACCTACAAACCGTGAGATCATGACCTGAGCCGAAGTCAGATGCTTAACCAACTGAGCCACCCAGGTGCCCCATGATCTACCCTTTTTTAGAAGTTGAAGTGTAGTTGACATACAATACTATATTAGCTTAGGTGTACAACAGATATATTCTTTACTGCAACTTTAAGTGATAGAGTAATTGTGAGGGAGGGTACAGTAGCAGATTTAGAATTAGAGAAGACCTGAGCATAGCTTTTGGTTGCTTTTACCAAAGATAATATAGCTGTATTTCTTCCCAAATTTTTTTACCAGTTTTTTTGATATACACAACTCCCAGTGCAAATGGATTCAGAGGACCAAATATTTATGCTTCACAATTGTGATAAGTAACATTATTTAATACATCTTTTATCCAAGAGAATACTACCAAACTTAACAAAACAATAACAAACTCACATTACCTAGTCTAACTAACTTTTATTTTTATTTTTTAATTTATTTATTTTGAGAGAGAGAGAAAGAGCATAAGCAGGGCAGGAGCAGACAGAGAGGGAGAGAGAATCCCAAGCAGGCTCCACGCTGTCAGCACAGAGCCCGATACAGGGCTTGATGTCACGAAGCATGAGATCATGACCTGAGCTGAGCTCAAGAGTCAGACACTTAACCAACTGAGCCATCCATGCATTTCTGATTAAATTTTATGTTAGAAAAAAATTAAGGTATGAAAAGGCTCTATTATGATTTAAATATACTAAGTCAAAGACCTTAATATCCATATTCTAAATTAAGAATATTATACTTAATAACTTCAAAATATTCCAGAAATAAAGATAGAAAACTTACCTGTCATCCAAAACAATAATAATTTCACCATGTTTAAAAGTAAGTTCATTGTCCTCAACGGCTTCAAAATCGTATAAAGCTCTCACTTTCCTTGCAACTTTATTATTTAACTGAATTTCTGCAGATGGATATAAGGATTTTGTTTCTGTGTGCTGCTGCTTCTGCTCTTGTAATGATAATTCAATAGCTAATTTGAAAAATTTAAATGCAAAAAAACAAGATAGCCAAAATTAATTCTGATTTTTTTAAAGCAAAAAAGAAATACTTTTAATGTAATACTTAATAAAATAAATCAAGTTGAGTATTTTATTTGTCCAATTAAATGCTAAACAGTTAACTTTTCTGGAGTGTGGGAGGACAGGGCAGAGAATCATGACATTTTTTAAAATAAAGTTTTTGCTCATTCCTTATTATCACAGTCTGTCATATACAGCAGCTATTATTTTTATAGCAAACAGATTGTGACATTATAATATGGGTAGCTTTCCATATAGGACAAGCCGTGAACATATTTCTGTGCTTGACTCATAACTTTGGCATTAAAGAAAAGGTGAAATGAAATCTCTCCAAAGGTAAGACACTAAATACGTATTATTGACAATGATTATGAATTAAATCATTCTTGTATCATGTTAATTGTTTTCCTTACTTTTGAGACCCTACTAGATATGAGGCAAAATAGTAAAAGCATACCCAGTTTGATTATAATTTTTATTTAAATAAATTGTTCTGGCAAGGATGTTTTAAGCAATATTAAATTATACACGCTTGAGCATTTACCTTTAGCTATGTCTTCATCTTCTTTGTTTTTGTTCGATGATGTACCATTCTTGGCAGCAGCTGAGACAGTCTGTAAATGTATGAGTAAAATGAACACAACTACTGTTTCAAAGAAAACACAAGCTCTATAATTACTCGCACATGTTAATTTTTAAAAAGCTGACAAGAGTTTCTTCTAAAAGTGAAGTTCTTTGTAAAAATTTAAAGTAGCAGTTTTCAAATACTAAAATAAAATACCATGGTTTTCGAGAAAACATAATAAACTCACAAGGCACAAACTGGCTTACATTATGCATAAATCTTAGTATATGACACAGATCATGGCATACAGAAAATACTGAAACACAAATCTTTCCCAATTGGACTTTCCTAACCTCAACTGTCCAAGGTATTTTATTCAGTGAGGGACACTGAAGTCTAGGAGAGGCAGCAAGAAGCCATAATAATTACTGAAAAGAAGAGGGTGGATGGAGACAATAGGTGCGGTTCTAGGAATACTTATTAAGCTCTTTTAGTACCATTGTACTTGAATCATGGTGGCACCTCAGGCACATCAGAATTAGGAGGCTCATGCTTAAATTTAAAGGCATGGAAGACAGGGGTGCCTATGTAGCTCACTCAGTTGAGCTTCTGACTTCAGCTCAGGTCATCATCTCACGGTTCATGAGTTTGAGCCCCACACTGGGCTCTGTGCTGACAGCTCAGAGCCTGGAGCCTGCTTCGGACTCTGTCTCTCTCTCTCTCTCTCTCTCTGCCTTTTCCCTGCTCAGGTTGCCTCTGTCTCACAAAAACAATTTTCAAAAATAAAAAATAAATTAAAAACAACGTTAAAGCCATGGAAGACAGAGATGTCCAGGATCCTGAACCATCAACCAGTTCATTAAACACAGGTTTTTACCATAAGAGACTCTCCTAAAGACTGAGAACAGGGGCGACTGGGTGGCTCAGTCGGTTAAGTGGCCGACTTCGGCTCAGGTCATGATCTCGCAGTCCGTGAGTTCAAGCCCCGCGTCGGGCTCTGTGCTCACAGCTCAGAGCCTGGAGCCTGTTTCAGATTCTGTGTCTCCCTCTCTCTGACCCTCCCCCGTTCATGCTCTGTCTCTCTGTCTCAAAAATAAATAAACGTTAAAAAAAAAAAAAATTTTTTTTTAAATAAATTAAAAAAAAAAAAGACTGAGAACAAACTGAGGGTTGATGGGGGTGGGAGGGAGGGGAAAGTGGGTGATGGGCATTGAGGAGGGCACCTGTTGGGATGAGCACTGGGTGTTGTATGGAAACCAATTTGACAATAAGTTTCATATTTAAAAAAACACACACACAGGTTTTTAACGACATGCAGAAAGGACAAAGCAGAAAAATGCTTGCTTTTATTACTTATAAGGTTTTTGTCCCCAAATTCTCCCTTGAACCCTTAGTTCTGCTCAGCTATAAAGATTCTTTTTGACTGTGTAGTCTACAGTCCAAAGACAAATAAAATATACAGTACTTCTCTTAGTTTCTTTCCCTAGTCCATATCCCAATATTAACTGGAAGGAAAGAGGCACTGAAGCAAAACTCAAGATAGTGTTTTTCTCCCACACTTAGCCCACTCTGTGGCTTATTATCCTGACCTTCACCCCTGTCCTACTGAAGCTATCTTCCCATCTCCTCAAATAAATTTCTAGTCTTATAGTTCCCCTTATCTATTTGTAAACCATTCCCTGCAGGCATATTCACTCTTCAAAAAATTGGTGTTGAGCTTTCTCAATTCCATAAACTTGTTTGTATCATTCTTCCCCCAGTAGGATCTCCTCTCCTGTCTACATACTGAAATGCATTCCAATCTAAAAATTCTACCTCTTTACCATCCCAGTCTGTAGTTACCTTTCTCTCCTGGCATCCTGTCTTTGTTACCCATCCTACCCATCCCTCATCCATATGTGTCACTTATAATTCAGTTATTTTTCACCTGTCTATAACAATCCAACTTTACTACAAATTTCTTAAACATAAGGGCTCCCTCATACATATATGCCTTTTGCATGACTCTAGACTTAGAGTATCATTAAACAGATTATTTATGGCTGATTCACTTTTCAAAGTTCTGATAAGTATAAGACATTCACTCAAGAGGGGCGCCTAGATGGCTCAGTCTGTTAAGCAGTCGGGTCATGGTTTCGGATCAAGTCATGATCTCACGGTTTATGAGTTTGACCCCACACTGAGCTCTGTACTGACAGTGATAAGCCTGCTTGGGATTCTCTCTTTCCCTCTCTCTCAAAACAATAAACTTAAAACAAAAAAAGAAATTCACTCAACAATTAGAACATCTACTAATATAAGGCGCTATTTCAGATAGGCACCTGGAGAGTGGAGGTGGGAAATGATGATTAAGACAGACTTTGCCCAGCCTTTATATGATACGTACCTTCAAAATAGTATAAGATCAACCATGGGTGTAAGTGAATTTCTCACCTGAGAACCTGCTGGAGGAAAAGTAATTCCTTCTTCTTTCATAGATTTAATAGTTGCAGATATTAGACTAAACTGAGGATCCTTCTGAAATTCTTCTGACCACTCCACCATTAAAGATTTCAGTTTTTCACACACTTTAGGATGAGCCTTTTAAGGGCAATGCAAAGAAAGAAATAAAACTATGGTTAAGTAATGGTTAAAGAACTTGAAACATTTAACAAAGAGAATTACCACCAAAATTAAACATCAACGAAAGTCCAGCAATCCTCAGCCTACATGAGTACTTGGTAAATGCCTATTTTTGCTTTAAGATAGAGTTATTTCTTGTAAAATTACCCTTTTAAACATCAATTTCTAACTCTTACTACAATGACAACAGATTTTTTATATTCAGAGGTTATTTCTTGTTTTCTTAATATGCTCAACATTAGACTAAGCTTTTTATATCAGCCAAACTAAAATTCTGGAATTTTACTAATAGCAAGAGAACGGTGCTTCAGAGTTTCTATCCCAAGGATATCAATAACAACCCTATCGTGAAAACACCCCCCGCCCCCCGTCCCGGCCCTGCTCTAAAGTAAAGACCCCCTTTGCTTGTTATCTCTAATGTGAATCTGGACAGGATAGTGGTGGTTTGGACTTTGAAGGTACGGAAACCTAGATCTGAACCTCAGCTGTGCTACTTACTAGTCACATGACCTAGGACAAGTTACTCAACTTCTCTCTAAGGCTCAGTTTCTGTATTGATAAAAAAGGAATGACAAGAGAATCGAACTTCTAAAAGTTATTAAGAGCATTAAACAAGATAGTATATGTAAAATTCTTAGAGCAGTGACTGCTTACTAACTCTCAATAAAGAAGAGCTATTATCACTAGTATATATGTTTTGGGAAGAAAAACAGGTTTTGGTGCTTCAAATGAAAACATCAAGTTTTACAAAAGGAAGTTTATTTCATCTCAAACTTATCTAAAAATTATTTCATTTATAACAATTTTATTAACGCTATATAGAGTTAAAATGACATACAGTATATGCACTTTTTAATGACTTAAATTCTTCTCTTTTTAAAATTTACCTTATTTTTTATCACAGCACGTACTTCTGTTGCAAAATCACGGGAACATACTTCTAAATGAAATATCTTTCCACAGTTTGCCACACAAGCCCCAAGAAGCTATTAATTAAAATAAAAATCAATATACAAATGTTGAGATATTATCTTATTTAACTTACTGAAATAAATACACATTTAAAATTTGGGTCAAATAATAAATAACATGACTTTTACTTACAGTTAACGCCTGCAGAGCAACATGAGGAACCTTATGATTTACCCTTTTCATTATGGCTTTTAGGCAATCTTTTGCTCTAAGAAAAAAATGAAGAAGGTTAAGGATTTATTCAGAATTTCAACTTAAACATTAAAAATATAAGGCCTACCAAATAACTTTAAATTTAAAAATAAAATCCTGCAAGGGCACCTGGGTACCTCAGTCAGTTAAACTTCTGACTCTTTGGATTTCAGCCCAGGTCATAATCTCACGGTTTGTGAGATCAAGCCCCATGTCAGACTCCATGCTAACAGCTCCCTGGAGCATGTTTGGGATTCTCACTCCTTTTTCTCTGCCCCTCCCCCATGTGTACATGTGCTCTCTCTCTCAAACATTAAAAAAATATTTCCTAAATTGTACACCATAAACTAGTATTACACTGTGTATTAAATAACTGGAATTTAAATAAAAACTTTGTCCCCCCCAAAAAATATTTTCCACTGTCCACTTTCCTGTGCCTTAATATTTACCAATGCCTTCCAGTGATTTAGCACTGCCCTCCCCTGCTTGCTTGCATACACATGCGCACAGGCTCTCTCTCTTTCTCTCTCTCAAAATAACGTTAAGTAAATGAGTAAATAAATAACATCCTGCAAACTTCATTTCATTAAAGGATTAAATCTGTAAAATGATTCTACACAATCTTTCGTTCATAGAACTGCAGAACTCAAAAAAAAAAAAAAAAGGAGCTTGCTGTAAATGTTGTATATTCCCCAATCAAGAGCCAAATCATTTCCAAAAGATCAACACAAAAAAACTATGTCATATAAATTACCTTTTTTCTTCAAGACAGGTTTAGTGTTCAGACAACAAATTCTTATCATAAAAAAAATTACCGAGACATAGTCTTCAAAGTTTTCAGTATAAACATGTATGAAGGTACTTTGAAAAGTTGTAATGTTAAAACAAATACTTTCATCAGTCTGCTAAACTTCTAAAGTATAGATCAGTTCAGCTTACTTATTGCATTCTCTCCCAAAAGCACTCTTTTTTATATTCACTTTTTCATCATATTACTATTTTCATCTATTCATTATCAAAGAGCTTTTTCAGTATATTACCTACTATATTATTATATTTATCTACTTTATTAAAAGGCTCCCATACATGTCTAAGTCACAGGGGAATTCCCTAAACAACTTTCACTGTTAACACGTGTTCCTATTGTGTAAAAGCCCTAATGACATATTTTAATATGTCTCAGGTTTTCAGTTGAACTCTTTTCCATTTGTTCTTTCATGATAAGGTTAGTCCCATAAATCTGGCCACCAGGATCTCTTTACTTTTGTCCCCCAAAAGTAAACAGTAAAATCCCATTTTCCTCTCAAAGTTGTATCAGGCAAAGAGACAGGTAATTAAGCTCCTAGACATTCACCATGCATGACTGGGCATCTTACCCATTAGGAGTGCTCCCAACTTTGTCACATATGTCCATAATAAGACTCCAATCTTCTGTAGTGTTGTACTCATTTGTGGCTTTTTCTATAAAATATCAGCACACACAAAAATTAGGACATGTCTCAATTAACAATAAAATACCAAAAAAGGCACAGTAGTTAAAACCTTTTCTTTTGCCAAATATAAAAGAACTACAGAAAAATTTCAGAAGATAAAGTATTTTCAACTTTAAATTGTATAGCTATATGAATTAAATGTTCTAAGGTACACCAATAAAATTTCTTCTAAACAGTGAAATAATACTAAATAAGTTACAAATCAGCAATAATTCTATAAAATTCTAGGGGCGCCTGGATGGCTCAGTCAGTTAAACGTCTGATTCTTGATTTTGGCTCAGGTCATGATCTCATGGTTCACGAGATGTGCTGTCAGCACAGAGCCCGCTTTGGATTCTCTGTCCCCCTCTCTCTAAGGCTCTCTCAAAAATAAACAAACATTAAAAGCAACAACAACAACAACAACAACAACGCTTTGGGGCTCTTGGGTGGCTCAGTCAGTTAAGTGTCCAGTTAAGCGTTCAACTTCAGCTCAGGTCATCATCTCATGGTTTGTGAGTTGGAGCACCGCGTCAGGCTCTGTGCTGACAGCTCAGAGCCTGGAGCCTGCTTCGGATTCTGTGTCTTCCTCCCTCTCTGCCCCTTACCCACCCTCTCTTTCGCTCAAAAATAAACATTGAAAAAAAAATTTTTTAAAAACCAATGCTTTTGCAAATAGTGAACAGTAATCCACATTTTCTTATATGATGATACATATTTTTAAGGCTTTCTTTCAAATTAGAATTTGATAGGATTTTTTTAAAGCTTATTTTTTTATTTAAAAAAAAATTTTTTTTAAACGTTTTATTTATTTTTGAGACAGGAAGAGACAGAGCATGAACAGGGGAGGGTCAGAGAGAGGGAGACACAGAATCTGAAACAGGCTCCAGGCTCTGAGCGGTCAGCACAGAGCCCGACGCGGGGCTCAAACTCACGGACCGCGAGATCATGACCTGAGCCGAAGTCGGCCGCTTAACCGACTGAGCCACCCAGGCGTCCCTAAAGCTTATTTTTGAGAGAGAAAGAAAGACAGAGGGCACAGAGGAAGGGCAGAGAGAGAGGGAGAGAATTCCAAGCAGGTTCAGCACTCACAGCATGGAGCCCCCGACATGGGGCTCATCTCATGGTTCATGAGATCATGACCTGAGCCAAAGTTAGAAACTTAACCAATTGAGCTACCTGGGTACCCAACAAAAGCATTGTTTTTAAAGGGCAAAAGAGGAAAATGATTAATAAAATAACAGTAAATTCATACAACAGAATATGAAAATTGAGTTATATGTAACTAAATGTTCAAAAAATGTATAAATCCCAAAATATAATGATTTGGTTTATACTGAGTTTAAAAAGCTAATGGCAGAATATATGACATTCACATAAACTTTCTAAACAGCTTTACTGAGATACAGTTCACATCACAACTCACCCAATTTAACGTGTACCATTTGATTTTTTTAGTGTATTCAGAGTTGTGCAACTATCACTATTATCTAATTCTAGAACATTTCACCACCCTAAAAAGAAGTCCATACCCATTGGCAGTCACAGCCCAATCTCCCCCCATAATCCCCACCCTAGATAACCACTAGTCTACTTCATATCTCTATAAATTTGCCTAATCTGTATTTCTCATATAAATAAAATCATACATGGTCTTTTGTGACTAGCTTCTTTCATTTAGTACAACGTTTTCAAGTTCATCTATGCTGAAGTATGCATCAGTACTTCAGTTATTTTTATGACTGAATAATATTCCATTTGTAGATCTACCTCATTGTATTTATCCATTCACCAGTTGAATATTTGGTCATTGTTTGGTTTTATTTTTTTTTAACTTTTTGGCTGTGAGTAGTGCAATGCTACTATGAACATCTCTGTGCAAGTTTTGTGTGGTTTATACCTCTCTCTTTGGTATGTACCTAAGAAAAGTGCTGCGTTATATGGTAAAAAAATTCTGTATTTAACTTTTTTAGGAACTGGCAAAAGTTTTCCAAAGCAGTTGTTCCATTTTACATTCTCACTAGCAATATATGAATGTTTCATATAAGGTTGTAAAACATTAAAACATACACTATAGTCTTTAGTGACACATACATAGGTAGTAAAAATATTTTAGCATACCCATAAGAATGATAAATACCAAACTATCCCTCATCCTAGCAAACTAGGATGAGGGATCAAAACTGGGTACACAGGGGCTTACTTGTATTTATAAAATTTTATTTATTAAGTTGTACATGAAACATCTAGAGATTATTTTATTCTCAGCATGTTTTTGTGGTCTGAAGTATTTCATAATCAAAATAACAATTAAAAAGTGAATTGTTAAAAAGCATGATGAGAGTATCATCACTGAATTATGTTGCATTTTTACTTGATTGACTTTTACAAAATTTCAAAATCAGGAGATACTTCTTTTCTGCTAATATAGAGGGATAAGGATATAAAAATTATGACTTTAGCAATATTTTAAAATCTAATCTCTTTTAATAAACACATAATTTCAAATATGGTCAAACCTGAGTATTATATTCATATGGACTTATCACAGTGATAAGCAGGAAAGATGGTAGAATTCTAGAGCTGTTCCTTTTTTAAAAGGAATAATAAAAGCCAAAAAATAAACAGGCTTAGCAAACAGCTATACTTTACAAGTAGGAGAGAAAAATACAGAATCTAGTTAACCTCAGTTAAATGCCAGAACTCACTTTTAAAAACCATGCAAACTGCTTCACACTATTATAATGGATGGAAAGCAATTATTGTGACAAGTGTAAAAATGACAAGCCAGAAATTTAAGAAATGTAATAGATTTTTACCTAGTATAAGTTCTAGACTCAAACACTAGGCTATGACATGGAAACTATTTGCGTCCAGCTTTTGTCCTTGTACAAAGATGACTAATTCTTCTACATGGGAAGTCAGACCAGGCTGTATATTTTAGAGGTTTAAAATATTTAACCACTTTTTTTTCTTTTCTCTTTTCTTTTCTTTTTTAGAGAGAGAGTACAAGCACAAGTCAGGGAAGAGGAAGAAGAGAGAGAGAGAGAGAGAGAGAGAGAGAGAGAGAGAGAGAGAGAGAGAGAATCTTAAGGAGGCTCCACTCAGCACGGAGCCCAACGCAGTGCTCAATCCCCCGCCCTGCAGCTCGTGATCTGAGCTGAAATCAAGAGTTGGGCGCTCAACTGACTCAGCCACCCAGACGCCCCTTAACAATTTTTTTATGTCATAATAAATTCAGGGGGCCAAGATGGCAGAGCAGCATGGAAGTTCCCGGCTTGTCTCATCCCTGAAATGCAGCTAGATCAGCACCAAACCATTTTGCACACCTAGAAAATTGATCTGAGGATGAACACAACAATCTGCATAACTTGAGCCATAGAACTCGGCAGATACAGAGCTCAGAGAGGTGAAATGGAGGAGAGAAAAGCCACAGGGGGTAGGGAGCTGTTTTTGCGGAGAGGGGACAGAGAAAGGAGGGGAGAGTGCGTGAGAAGCACTCTCCCCAGAAGTAGGTGGAGAGAAAGAGAAAGAGTGGAAACACCCACACGGACTGAACAAGAAAGGGAGAAAGAGGCTTCAATTCCATTAGGACTCTATAAACAGGGGACAGCAGAGTCAGAAATTCTGTAGCTCAGTATCTAGCAGTGCCCTGGTGGGAAGGGCAAATTCCCAGGAGCAGGCAGTGAGATCTGAGGGGTCCGTGGGCCACACAAGAAGCGGTTCCTCTGCTAGGAGGGCATTTGGTAGAGGCCATATGGCCTCCTCACAGGGAAAGGTCCCAGTGGACCCTACCTGGAGAACAGCCACATGTGCTCATATTGGAACAAAGACGCAAGGGTGTGGTGAAACCTGGTGCCGGCCGTGTGTTGTTTTGCCATAATCTCTGAACCTCTGCTGCCGGGCAATTGCACAAACTTTTTCTGGGGCAAGCAGGCACCCAGCCACAATCTCGGAACCTCTGCAACAGTGACCGCACAAACATTCCCAGGGGCGAGCCAGGACCCAACCACTGCTCGGCAAGACCCTCCCCAGAGTGCTGGAGTCAGTCCAAACCACAGGGCTCTCAGAAGTGAGGGGTTTGGAAACAGCCCCATATAAGATATAATTCAGGAGGGAGGTGCTGCTGCCAGGCTGACAGCTTGGAAGCCGACAGCATAGATGTGGGGAGTGAATGGAAGCTGAAGACAAAGGAGGGGTGCTTGATTGCCGGTCACAATTGCTGAGCGCAATTATTCTGGTACCAGAGACTGGGAAGCTGGGTGATGCCATTTTCACCTCTCCCAAGCATGCACACACACCTGCACGTGCACCACAACAATCCACCTCAGTAAGCTAAGCAGCACCATCTAGTGGAGAACAGCTGTTACACCAAGCCCCGTCCAACTGCGCCAACCAAGCTCAGGCCCTAGAGGACCACCACAAGTCTCTCCACCTGCTTAGTGCTTCACAGTTGACTTCCAGGGGAAACTAGATGTAATTTCATTCGGATTTCATTCTGTTCACGGGTCCATCTATTCATTTCTTGTCTTTGTTCTTTTCTTATTCTTGGATACAGAAAGAGAAAAATTTATTTTTATTTTCTGGGGTTTTTTAAATTTTTATTTTTTTTTTTTACTATTTTAACTTTTTAAAACATTTTTTGTGGTTTACTTTCTTCATTTCATTCTATTTTATTGCATACACTTTTTAAATTTTTAAATGTTTTCTTACTTTTTTTCTTTTCTTTCCCACATCTAATGAATTCGGTGAATTCAAAAGTACAGACAAGAAAAAAAAACTTCTACCAACCTCTTTTGAAACCATGATGCTTATCTTTCCAGACATTTTTCTACATGAATATGGAAAAATAAAAATATATGCAAAACTAAATAAAATAGAATTGTATGTATGAGGTGCCTCCAAAAAGAGCACCCAAAAGCTGATACCTCCTTCCCTGCCAAAGTTATGAACAAGTTGAGAAACAAAGAATAAAATATCATTGCTATTACTAACAGATGCTGTAGGTTTATTAGACAAATGGGCTTGCTAATTGTGAACCTCAGAGGAAAGCATGTCTTAGCACTAAACAGGCACAGACTGCTCCCTGCAGGATAAGCCTCTGCACAACTTATTCCATGGAGGAGATGAGAAATCACTCGATGGCTGTGGAAAGACTCGCTAGCTCTGACACATCAATGAAGTGCATCCACTGGGCCAACTAGTCTCAAATTTACCAGTCAGATAAGTCATTACATCAAGGTTGAAATGACTAAGGGAGCCAGAGCAGACTCAGGGTGAACACTAACGGAATTCCCTTCTCAGCAAGGAAACCTCAGAGGTAGAGAAAAAGTATTCCTCACTAATACTTGTGATCATATTAAATGTATTATTTGCTAACTTGCATTTGTACTTATATAAACACCTATGTTCATAATTATACACCTATAACAATATTTTTAAATAACAGTGTGATGTACCATATATACAGAGTGGCCACAAAATACCTATGCAATCAACACATTGATTTTTTTTAAATGCTTTCTCTGCCTTAAGTGCATTGTTTTTTACTATTTTTTTAAGTTTATGTATTTATTTTGAAAGAGAGAGCATGTGCACATGGGCTCATGAGTGGGGAGGGGAAGAGAGAGAGGAAGAGAAAGAAACCCAAGTGTGGAGCCCAATGTGGGGCTTGATCTCACAAAACATGAGATCATGACCTGAGCCAAAATCAAGAGTTGGACGTTCAACCAACTGAACCCCCCGAGGAGTCCCAATACACCGTGATTTTAAATCCACCACGTACTCAGCCTCTCTTATACTCACTGATATCACTCATACTGATGCCCCACATAGAAGAAATATAAGATAATTAAAAGTGGTCAGGATTTCACACAGAGGCCCTTCAGCATACTTTGTCTTTCATATGTCTCCACCCGACCTCTCTTCCTCTCCTCAATCCCAATAATGAAGGTAAGCTCCATGATGGCAGGAATTTTTGTTTTGTTCACTATTATTTCTAGTGCATGGAACAGTCTGAAGCACACAGTAGATACTCAGTAAATTCTGGTTTTGATAAATAAATTGAATGATGCTGGTTGCTCCTCCACATCCTATTGCCGTGTGTACAATGATGCCCAATGTGGTCTTTCTAAAGTGTGCACAAAGTTTTGGACTAGCAAGAGCTTCTGGCCAGCTAGTTTGCTGAGCAAACATCCAAAGGGGCTATACAGGATCAAACTTCACTAGCAACACCATGTGGCAATAAAAGGCAATAGCACTAGTGGGCTTATGAGGTTCCAGTTCTCTGCTTGTTTACTAAAGAGGAATGACAATACCTTTTTGGGAGTCTTAACCAAAAGCCAAGGTAAGTAGGGAAGGGACTGTCTCAAGAAGGAGGCAAAAGGCTTCCTGTGCTGTGATATACAGGTGACTTCAATGGAGTCTGAAAAGCAAATCACATTTATTATACATGACTTGCCAGTCTCATGCTCATCCTTCTCTTTGCTTATGACAGGGTTTTGTTTTTGCTGTACAGATCTAACACTCCTTTTCATACTATCATTTGATACAGTGTTTAGAACTACCTGATGATTCGACATTAAGCTATATTCTCTTTTATATATGTATTATTTCTCGTTAATAGGTAAATCTTTAGTCTCTCTGGAATTTCATTTGGTACATGGAAAGAAGGATAGAAAAATATTTTTACTAATTATTTGTCAGTAGTTCTAACATCTAAGAATCTATCATTTCCTCTTTGATATGAGAAGCCAAGCATCATCATTTACCAAATTTCGTCAGTACACATATGCATACAAAGAGTTGAATCTGATTTGAGACCATCTAATAACCTACCCATTATTGATTACTCGACTTTTAATGATTATTTTTTCAATTTCAATCCTGTGATACACAATTAAATGTGAAATCTATTTAATACCTACCAAAAACCATTCCAACAATTTTAAGTATATCTAAACAGTGTTTTTTATTTTATTTTTATAGAAAATGCAAAAATCCTGATTTGAATACTCTATCCAGCATAGTTTATGGTCTACAAATACAGGGCTCACTTTTTTAAAAAAGTATAAAATCTGAAGACTTTATAATGGTCTGCCAAAAAGGATTTCATTTTTCAAGTGAACTAAGTAACAGTCAAATTATGTACTTAGGAGCATTTTAAACTCCTGGAAAAAATTTTAAATATTATAATTAAGGAACCATTCTTTTATAGCACTGTCACTTTGCCCAGTGTTGGGGGCATACTTCACATTATCCTGTGTCAAATGCATAGAGTGGGAGAGAGTTTAAAAAGCCCTCCTGCGGCCTAAATTCTAAATTTCCAGGGTTTGGTGGGTGTAAGTCATAATGTTTCATCACCAGGTTTTGATTATTGTATATAGAAAGCCTCAAATATCCTGAAATATTTCAGAAAGATTCTAACAATATCATATTCCATCAATACCTATAAAGAACAAAAAGGCGCCCCCTCTACACAGTGCATTGTGTTTAGCATAAAAATTTAAGAAGAATTCAAGTCTACCGAGAAAACTTTTTTTTTTAATTTTTTTTTTTAACGTTTTATTTATTTTTGAGACAGAGAGACAGAGCATGAACAGGGGAGGGGCAGAGAGAGAGGGAGACACAGAATCAGAAACAGGCTCCAGGCTCTGAGCCATCAGCCCAGAGCCCGACGCGGGGCTCGAACTCACGGACCGCGAGATTGTGACCTGAGCTGAAGTCGGACGCTTAACCGACTGCGCCACCCAGGCGCCCCTACACAGAAAACTTTTAATGAAATAGGCTCTACCTGTAATTTTTAAAATTTAACTATATAAAAGAAAAATGCTCAGAAGAGATTTATAAGGTTCCTCCTACTATGTTTGCAAATAAAAACTCACGACTGGTCTGCCTCCAACCATGGCAGAGTGTCCGCTATCAGATTTGCTATTCTACCAAAAACAAGAACAAAACAGGCCACAATATATAATGCAATTGTGTTCAGGAAATGAATAACAGGCAGTGCAGGTCTGAGATCTTTGAGGGAAGGGAAATGTGAAGTAAGCCCCATAATGTCCCTAGTTTTTGCCTGGGAATACTTTCCTGTCCCAACACAAGGAGAACTAGCCCAAGTAGAGCAACAGACCAAATTTCTGAGCACAGGGACTTACCATGGGTCCTCGGTCAAGGGCTAGGCTACTTGAGTCTCTAAGAAGTCTAGCAGAGATCACCGACTATGGGGCTGAAAGGCTGTGCAGTGCAGGGAGTCTTTGCAGTTCTTGTTTGTGTTCCCACAAAATTCAGATATTGAAGCCCTAACCCACAGTGTTGCTGTATTTGGAGAATAAACCTCTAAAGGTTAAATGAGGTCATAAGGATGGGATCTTGATCCAATAGGATTAGTATCCTAATAAGAAGAGAACACAGAGCTCACTATCTCTCTCTCTCTCCATACATGCACCAAGAAGAGGTCATGCAAGCACACAATGAAAAGGTAGCCATCTGCAACCCAAGGGTAGAGACACCTCACCAGACACCAACCCTGCTGGGACCTTGCTCTTGGACTTCCCAATTTCCAGAACTGTGAGAAAATAAATTTGTTGTTCAATTCACCTAGTCCAAGGTAATTTGTTATGGCAGCCCAAGCAGACTAATACTCCACCCAACTAGAGTACAGAGAATATTTCAGGCATTCAACTGAAACACCAAAAGAGAATAAAGGCCCCCTATAATTTAATTCAATATCAAAACAGACCTGTCACACAAAGAAAACCAAAACGATCCTCTAATAACATAATTACCTGACAGAAAAAACTCAGGACTCTTTAAAGGAAGACAACATAACCTAGCCTCCTTGCAAAGAATAATCATAGTGAACAGCATAATATAAAAAATTACCAGTATACGAGAAAGTATCCCATAATCAAGATAAAAGTAATCAATAAAAAGAGATAATAACACAACTGAAATATCAGAAATAGCAAAAGAAAAAAGTACTTTAAAGCAGGTGTTACCAAGAACTTAAACCAAAGGCTGGTGAGTGCTCAGCAGGGAAAAGGAAACTATAAAATTGAATTTGTGGAACTAAACGGTACAATATCAACCAAAAAATTCACCAGATGGGTTTAAAAGCAGAATGGAGACCACAGAAACAGTGAATGTGAAGAAAAATCAATAGCAGTTATCAAATTTGAAGAATAAAAAAAAATTTTTTAACTGAACAGTCTCCATATATTGATTTTTTAAAACTTGCTATGTAACCAATTACTGCAAATTAGTAGTTGAAAACACCCATTATTAGTTCATAGTCGTACAGTTAAAATCTATGCAGCCTTGGCTAGGTTCTATGCTCAGAGTATTACAAGGCTTATTGTTGGTGTTTGATGTTACTTAGCTTAAACATGATAACTAGATTCATGCATATTGGAACTATGTAAAGTGAGGCCTACCTGTACATTAAAGAAAGCCAAGTTTAAATCTTTCCTCAAATGTGCATGAACTATCAAAACCTAGAAATAATCTAGGACAATATACATAATATATTCTCCAAATACAATGCTTTTTT